TGGAAACATACACAGAGTTTTACTATCAAATTGTATCATCCGCTGCCGCTACCTGTCAGAATAAAAATCTGGGACAAACCAAAGTGTAGAGTGGTAGTTGAATTCATAGCATTTGAAATGCTGAAATCTTGAAGTCTTTTTAGATTAGCTGCCACATCCAGCTTGTGGTACGGAGAAATTTTTGCCGTAAAAGTTGATCTCTGAAGACCTCGTCTTTCTTTTTTTTTGGGACTTTTAGAAGTTATATAATATGGGTGGCCTAAAATATTCCCGGAATCTGCAGTACCTTTTAATTGATTGGAAGGTGATAACAGAGGAACTTTGCTGTTTACAGCAACTTGGCACGGGAATATATGATCAAACAAGGAACCCCATCGGCACAACAGAGAGCTTTGTTGTTACAATACAGATGTTGCAGTTAAGCTAAATAAAGAAATCAATGGATAATTATTCCAAATTCAAATACTACTAAAGACAAATAATTCATTACTTTGGGATCGAAACATCCATATTATTTTTATGTTACTATTACTATTAGGTGTAATAAATCATTCATCTAACCACTGAATATATTAAATTAAAACAACCTTTATATAAATTTAGATTGTCATAAATCTACATCAGTTACTGTAAAATATTTCTAGCACAAAAATATCGGATTATTTCGACATTTCTATATATTTCGCTTTCCCTGACATATCTTGTCTATTCCATCCATTTACTCCTTCTCACCACAAATTTCTCCAATCAGAGAATGATGTATTATTATACAGCAGACAGATATCATCTCACTGATATCACCATCCAGAATTCGAAACACCTGAACCACAGCAAGTCGTTCTCAACAGACAATCAGGAATGATTTTTAACATTCATTAGTGTCGCTGAAACCGAAAGTGGGAACAAAAGATCAGCAATTCACTTTATTGAAAATTGATGACATTATGTTTCATGTGTGATTTAGAGTTTAAACAAATGCGTTTATTATTTTACATGTGTGCTTTGAGCGCAATACCAATGTGCGCTAACAAGGGCGCTAATTTTTATAATTTTAAAACTGTACCAGGGCCCTCCCATTGGAGGAGGCACCAAAATCATTCTAGAAATGTATATGAACTGGGTTTGTTGATTGGAATATGGGGGTAATTGGGTCTCTTTTTTCTTATTAATATCTTCATTAAACTTGTCTTATTGATATTCTAATTACTAAGTTCGTTGCTACATTAACAACAGAGTAAAGGTTTAATTACCCAAATTTAAGATTCTGTTGTTCAAATATGAGAAGCAAAGAAAACTAAAGAAATTGACAAGAAGAAACAGAACCAAAGAAACAGAATCCTCAGTGTTTGTCACAATTAGGAAGAAATCGTTGACGAATTTGATGGTATAAGCCAGGAGTGAAAGACAAAAACGACAAAGTGCGTGTTTATTTGGTTAGTTAAGAAATGATCGAAGATGAAGGTAATTTAACCAGAAGCATGGAAAAGAGGGATAGAAGGCCCGTGTCACACCTTATCAGCTTTGCATCAGAAGATAAGCTGGTTTTGGAGAAAGCAGAAAATGTTCGGGCTGGAGAAATACAAGAAGAATTCAGTAATGAATGTAGAGAATATTGATAGGGTTCGTTTGAGAGGGTTATGTCGAAGAAAATCTAAGGAATGTAGAATTAGTTAAATGAGTCATAACATTGGATATATTCATTTACAATAAGAAATTTATTTGATTATATATTTGTATGGTTGGAGTCTCGCGAATCGGAATTCGCGACACTCAGAAACGGGAAGAGAGAAAGAATTAATGGGGAAGTTCAACTGAGAGTTTCTCAGATGTATATGAAAATGTATCAAGTTTAATAACGGAGCCTTCAGTGGTTCACTACGTTTTTCAATTTTTCTTGTATCGAATCTTCGACTTGGTCGAGTTCTTTCACTAATTGGTTTGCCAATTGTTGTCCTTTGTGATTTCTTCCCAAATAGAGTCGTCTTGTTGATGTAATATTAATTGTATCGTGATAGTGGCTTACAAGTTCCAATTCAGCACTGGTTCTCTCGATTTCAAATTTGCTTATTAATCCTCCACTTAACTCGATGTTTTTGAGTGGGATTCCATTAGTCTTATAAGGTTACCAGTAATTGCCCATTTTCCCTCCTAGCTATTGCATCATTTCTTTGTAGTAGCATTTCTGCAGCCAGAGTAGGGTGATTTCCGGACATCTTCTCAATCAAATTTAGTAAGTTATTTCTATTCTAGCAGCTTCTTTGATAGGTTTCCTTGAGTAATTGGATAGATTCTCGTCTGAGAGAATCAAAGATATATTGAAACTTCACATTGTTTGGGTTAAACGTTTCTTCTGGGGAAATTTTCATCAGAAGTAATCCTCTGTTAATTCAGAGTTTCCTAAGCGACTCCAAGATCTCTATAGGTTGTCGGGGCTTCTTGTAAATAAACTCCATTTTTCCTTTTCGTCCATTGTTAAGCTTTGCGACTGTACTTGCCGGATAAGTAATTGCTGAGCAATTTTATAATCATTTGTTGTCATCGTTATTTGTCCCGTCGATAGTAGTTGTAACCAAGATAATCTTCTGCGACAGATTTGCTTAATGAACTTGAGGGCCCATACAGTCGCTCTTAGTAATTTGGTCCACTTACTAAAGCAATGTATCTCTATGAATTGAATCACCACCCC